GCCCAGCCCTGATTGGCCCCAATCAGGGCGGGGCAGCCAGCCAACCTCCCGCCGTCTCCTCCTCCCCATAGGCCCACCCCTGATCCACCCCAGTTGGGGCTGGGCCAGCCGGACCCCACCCGTGCATGAATTCGTGCACTGGGCCTCTAGTAAAAGTATATTTTTATAACGATTGTTTGTCAAGCTGCCAAACAATGACGATAATGAAGAGAAAGCTACAGTAAAAATATATTTAACAACCTAACTGGAAAAAGCACTAAGTTTAGCATGTTAGAAAAGTAAGATTAGAAGAATACTGAATGTTTAATTTCTCTCTAGTCAAATACATCTCTAAATGAAGACATCTCTAAAACAGAATCAATCATAATAAACCAAATGAGAAAAACAGAACAAACCTTTGACTATCAATAGGCACATATCCAAACCACCAGAGCACAAACCACCATCTTGACGTTATAGTCTTATGCACCATTTGTTGCCTGTGTTTCAAATCCAAATAAGCATGGGCAGTTGCTATAGTGACAATATGCCTCTTTTGGCACTAGGAGTTTAGTACTACTAAGTACTTATGAGCTTCATAATGTCAGTACTTCCTCCCACACTTTGAATTACTGTAACTTCACACAATGTGATTTGATTCTGTCCTTTAGAAGTCAATTTTGTTATGTTATCAAAAATAGTTTACTTTATCAAGCATAGTATACATACGTGTCATGAGATATTATCTAACTCATCTAACTTGCTACAAGTATACAAATTCAAAAATACTTAATTGATTAATATTAAAGATGTTTGCTTAATAAACAAATTGTATGACATCACTGGAATTTACTGTTTTAGTATTGTAACTGGACAAAAGCATATCTTATTCATGTCTTAGCTCATTGTATTCCTACCATCCTTCATTTAAAAGTGAAAGTTAAAAATTCAAAAACAACATTAAGAAACTGAATTTTATTTTATAGCAGATTGGTACATTTTTATTTCCTTTGGGAACTATTCCTAATTACTGAAGACTAATTATTAATGATATCCAAAGAGAACATCATTTTATTGCTAATAAAATGCCAAGAATAAGAAAAAATATCAATCTCAAATCAATCAAAGAATATTTTCAGATCATCAAAAGTCAGAGACTGGAAACCCTCATTCATTTCTCATAGGAATAGAAAATGATGCAGTATCTTTGGAAAATAGTTTGGCAGTTTCTCAAAAAGTTGTACACAGAATGACCAAACAACCTATCTCTTTCATTCCTAGGTATCTACCCAAGAGAAATATCCATAAAAGACTTATATATGAATGTTCATAGATATCCTATACAATAAAAGACTAATATGCAAATAGACTGAATGACAGAACAACGAAACAACTGAACAACCAGTTGCTATGGCGTGCACTGACCACCAGGGACGCGCATGGAACATGGCAGGTGTCAGCAGCAGGCAGCAGAGTGCGGAACATGGCGGGCGTCGGCTGTGGTGGGATGGTGGAGCAGGTGAGTGGAGGCACCAGACCAGGGCGGGACACCGGTCACTGTCATCGGGGCAAGCCTCTGGTGGTTACTGGAAATTCTTTGCTCCCACGTGCCACATTGCTGCCTGGTACTCACACCTGCTGCTGGCACCGGCCCCGCTAGTACCTGCAGATGGCACCCGAGTGGCCACTCACACCCGCTGCCAGCACCCAGCACTGGTCTCAATTGCTTGCCACCGCCAGCAGGTGCAAGTGGCGGCTTAAGGCCCCAATTGCCTCTGAGGGCTTCTCCACCTCCCCCTGCTCCTGAGGAGTTATCGGGGCAGCAGCTGCCGCTTGCACACGCTGCTGGCACTGGCCCTAATAGCTCCATGCCATCAGCGGGTGCGAGTGGGGCCTGTGCTGTCCGCGCGTGGGAGCGGTGGTGGCGGGAGTGGGGCTGCCGGCAGACAGGGACCAGGGCCGCAGCAGGAGGGGCCAGGTGGGGGCACAGAGGATGGGCCAAGACCCCACTCCTGTGCCCATCGCAGCCTCGCGGCCCACAGTTCCTTTCAAGGTGCAAGAATTCGTGCACTGGGCCCCTAGTGTTATTCATAATAACTAAAGACTGGAAAACTAGTGAATGGGTAGGCAAAAAAACAACAACAAAAAAACACCACCAAAACATATCATGGAATACTTGTCAGAAATAAAAAGGAATGGAATACTGGCACATGCTACATCAGGAATGAAGCTCAAAAACAAGAAGTCAGCCCCTAGCAGGTTTGGCTCAGTGGGTAGAGTGTCGGCCCAAGGACTGAAGGGTCCTGGGTTTGATTCTCAGTTACAGGCTCATCCCAACCCTGTGCAGGAGGCAACCAATCAATGTGTCTCTTTCATATCAATGTTTCTCTCTGTCTCCCTCCCTTCTACTCTAAAAATAAATGGAAAAATATTCTCAGATGAGGATTAACCAAAAACAAACAAACAAACAAAAAACATGAAGTCAGACACAAGAGATCATATATTATACTGGAGGCCTGGTGCACAGATTCATGCACTGGTGGGGTCCCTTGGCCTGGTCTGCGGGGATCGGGCTAAAACTGGCTTTCTGACATCCCCCAGGGTTCCTGGATTGTGAGAGGGTGGTTCTCAGGTGACACACCCCAGAATTGGGCTCCCTTCTCTCTGGTTCCGGGTGCATCACCTGAGAACCACACCTGCCAAGTCACTAGCTCGTGTGTTGAGCGTCTGCCCCCGGTGGTCAGTGCGCATCATAACTACCAGTCAGACAGTCAAACGGTTGGCCAGTCGCTTAGGCTTTTATATATATAGACTAGAGGCCCAGTGCATGAAATCGCGCGAGACCCAGACCTGTTGCGCTGCGGAACCCAACGTCAAGTCCCGCTGGCGCTGTAGGACCCATCAATGCACCTCCTGGTGACTGGTCTTTGTTCGTTACAGTGTTACGACCACTGGGTTTTTATTATATAGTGATTCCATTTAAATGAACTGTTGAGCCCTAACCTGTTTGGCTCAGTAGATAGAGCATCGGCCTGCAGACTCAAGGGTCCCAGGTTCGATTTCGGTCAAGGGCATGTACCTTGGTTGCGGACACATCCCCAGTAGGAGGTGTGCAGGAAGCAGCTGATTGATGTTTCTCTCTCATCGATGTTTCTACCTCTCTATCCCTCTCCCTTCCTCTCTGTAAAAAATCAATAAAATATATTTTTTTAAATGAACTGTTGAGAAAAGGCAAATTTAGAGACAGAAAGAGTATAAGTAGTTGCCTGGGGGTAAGAGTGGGGATTAGCTGTCAATGGGCATGTGGAATCTTATTAAAGAGATGAAAATATTCTAAAACTGATTTCAAGTGATGGTTGCACCATTTAGTAAAATTACTAAAACTCACTGACATATAGTTGAAATAGGTGAATTTTATGATATGTAAGATATCCTATATAATAAAAGCCTAATATGCAAATTGTACCTTCGGGCAGTTGTTCGACCAGGAGTTCAACCAGGAGACCAGGAGTTCGACCACTCACTATGACACGCGCTGACCACCAGGAGGTGGTGCAGAACATGGCGGGCGTCGGCAATGCAGTGCTGGTAGTGGGTGGCAGTGGAGGCACTGCTGACCCCGATGGGCCCTGATGAGAGCGGAATCACAGTGGGATGGTGGAGCAGCTAAGTGGGTGGCGCCAGGCCAAGGCGGGTGCAAGCAGGGGCCCAATTGCCCCGCCGATCACCCCGCAGATGGTGACCAGCAGCGGCAACGGGGGGCCGCCCAGCTCCCAAGAGCTGAGGGAGCCGGGTGGGGAGCCTGGCCCTGATCGATCGTCCCGCAGGCAGGATGGTGGAGCAGGTGAGGAGGCCGTGCCAGGCCAAGGCAGGGTGCCAGGCGGGACTGCAGGGCTGCAAGGCTGGGGCATGAGCTGGGACTGCAAGGCTGGGAGCACGAGCTGGGGCCCAATCTCTGCAGGCCACCCCAAGGGACCCCACCCGTGCATGAATTCGTGCACCGGGCCTCTAGTATTTCATAAAATCATTGTTGTTTTTTAAAGTCAGAGAACAACAGAGCTGCTAAAACTCTATTTGTATAGACGAAAAAAGTGAGGCCCAAAAAGATTAAGCAATTTGTTTAAAGGTCACCCAGCCAGACCTTGGCAAAAGCAAAACAGAAAAAAAGATTAAAATCCAGCCTAATCCTCCCACCAGTCCAATATTACATCTACTAAAAAAATGCTCAAAGAATATTTAAAAAGTATAATAATTACATAGAATTCCTTGAGAGGTATTGTAGAAGCATCAAAAATTGAAAAACAGAAAGAATGATTAAAACATACCCAAATCTATTAGTACATAATGATGTTCAGAAAAGATAAAAGCTAGAAAAACTCATTTATCACTCTTTGAACCACATTATTTTAAAAATTGGTAAGTAAAAGAACTACATTTTTTTTTGTCTTTCAGGGTAACTGACTTCACCGCCCATTGCAACCAGTTAACCCCTTCCCAAATTGTGATGAAGGTAAGGAGCACTCTCCAGAAAACCCTTTTCTCAGGCTAAAGAAAACCCTTACTATAGCCACCACAACTGTATTTCAGGGTAACTGAATGTTGCCAGCATATGAAAGAAAGCTTCTACTCAACAGAATAATGCAGGTTATTAAATATAGATGGAAATGAAAGAATTATTCATAATAATAAAAAAAAAAGAAAGAATTAGAAATTATCATTTTTCAACCCCTAATAAAATTGAGTCAGGCAAGAATTAACAATTATTGTTAAGGCCATTAAGTGAATAGATGATGGGGGCTAGACATTTGTAGGAAACCAAAATAGCACCTCACAGCTTACTTTGTCTTAAGGAGAAAAGCAAAATAAACAAACAAAAAAAACCCAGAAGGTTACATGAGGTAGATTAAGATGTCACAAATCTAGGGGAACCTTTAGCATTATGTCCAGGTTTATTAGAAATGCAGGGACCAGCTCTGGCCAGTTTCACTCAGTGGTTAGAGGGCCCGAGAGTGAAGGGTCTCTCTTCCCCCGTCAAGGACATGTACCTCAGTTGCAGGCTCAATTCCTGGCCCAGGAGGCAGGCAATTGCTATGTCTCTCTCACATCAATCTCTCTCTCTCCCCCGCTCCACTCTCTCTAAAAATCAGCCCGGGCCCTGCTTGGGGCTCGTGCAGGAGGCAACCAATCGATGTGTTTCTATCTTTCCCTCTCTCTTCCACTCTCCCTAAAAAAAATCAATAGAGCCCTAGCAGGTTTGGCTCGGTGGATAGTGCTTCGGCCTGCAGACTGAAGGGCCCCGGTTCGATTCCAGTCAGGGGCACATGCCTGGGTTGTGGGCTCGATCCCCAGTAGGGGGTGTGCAGGAGGCAGCTGATCAATGATTCTCTCTCATCGTTCATGTGTCTATCTCTCTCTCCCTCTCCCTTCCTCTCTGAAATCAAGAAAAAAAAATCAATGGAAAAATATCCTCGGGTGAGGATTAACAAAAAATAATAATAATAAAATAAAAATCAATGGGGAAAATATCTTTGGGTGAGTATTAAAAAGAAGAAATGTGGGGACCAGAGCAGTAAGCTAAACACCAAGAGAAAGTAATCAAACATTTAAAAGGTGAGCTATTCTATAGGAAAAAAAGCCTGGACTCTTTAGCCAATCAGAGAAAGAAAAACAAAGTGTGTGGGCTATTTTATATCTTAAAAGGCTTGACATACATAACCAAAAACATATTTGGTCCTTAATTGGATCCTGGTATAACAAAACAGCTGGACATAGGACATCTGGGAGATAATTTGATAAATTTAAAGATGGAAAATTAGATAACATTAAGAAGTTATTTATTTTAAAATGTGATATTTTTGTCTTATAGTAATATGCTTTTACAGATATGCATGCTGAAGTAGGTAGAAGTGGCTGATGTAGATGTCTATGATTCACTTCAAAATACATCAATGAGGTTAAGATATAAAAAATTAAAATGCAAGTCTTAGAACTTCCTAACTCACTGCTGTTTCCATAAATGCTCATTAATTTATGCATAAGGTATAATAATTACATTGAAAGAACTCGGGCCCAGCGGTGTGCCTCAGTGGTTGAGCAGCATCGATGACCCGGGTCATGGGGTGGATTCCCGGCAGCTCACATGCCCCGCTGGAGGCGGGATCCCCAGTAGGGGGCGTGCAGGAACAGCTGATCAAAGGTTCTCTCTCATCATTGCTGTTTCTCTCTCACCCTCTCCCTTCCCCTATGAAATCAATTACATAAACACAAGAACTCGTTCAGGCAGAGGTTCAGAGAAGTGACCTACCATGGATGTTACCTTTTCTGTAAAACAGGTCCTGAACCAAAGAGAACTCAAAGGTTAACAACACAATATTGTTGGCAACGTGGTCATGCACGAGGTACCAACATGCATCAAAGCGGCATGAACAGAGAGCTTTGTCCTCAAAGAACTAAAAATACCTAACGGAACAAGTTCTCGGTGTTTACTGCAGGAGAACAAGGCTGTTCCAAGATCACATTTCAGGCTCTGAAGCCGCAGCCTCACCAAAACAATCCTCAATTGTTACATGAAGTCATCTTCCTTTCTGACTTCACCGCCCATGGCAACCAGTTAACCGCTTCCCAAACTGTGATGAAGGTAAGGGGCACTCTCCGGAAAACCCTCTTCTCGGGCTAAAGAAAACCCTTCCTATAGCCACCAGTTTCATTTCAACGAGGGCCCTCTCCATCTCAGAACTGGGAACTGACAGCCGCCTTCAAACCCTGGGAAACCGTCAAGCAGCCCGTTCATTTGCCTCCCCGCCCTCCCCCCGACATCCACAGGGCGGCGCTGTCCTCACTCGTCCGCTCACACCAGGTGTGCGCCGAGACTATTAGTCGGTCCGACCCGGGGAAAGGCCCACCAACCGCTTCTCTCCCGACGCAGCCCGTCGGGGTCTGCACACGAGTGCGTCCGGTCCCCCCAGTTAGTGGCTCTCTCTCGGGGAAACTTAAAAATACTCTGGCAGGTGAGACGGCCGAGAAAGACCCTGCACGCTGGCACTGTAGCTTGGACTCTCCGGCCTAGCGACTGAGAAACGTGTGAGAAAAGCGTCACGGCCCTCGCACTAACCCGAGCTCCGCGACTTCCGCCGCCTGAACGCCCGTGGATGGGAGCCGCAGCCGCC